TCCAATGATCCAAGTCCATTTACTGTTCGAGTATTTGCAATAGGCATGTTTTGACGGTCTGCAAACTTTTCATTTATTCCCAAGTATTATGTCCTTCTTAAGTTTCAATTTTCGATACTTTTTTTTTATTTATTTACGCTGCAACTACAAGAGTTATTAGCGCCCTATAAAATGTAATAACAGGTAAAGTTAGAAAAAAATTACAATAATTGATACAGTGCTTTGGATAATTTATTGTTTTTTAATGTTTGACAATGAAGTTTTCACTGCAGAGAGTAAACCAATGTGTTTGCCAAGTTTTCATATTAATATGGTGCTTTTGGTTTTCATTATTTTGTCGGTGTCCTTATCATCAATTAGCCAATCGCGTCGACTGCTGGGCATAGGCCTCTTTAAGTTATTTCCAGTGTTCTCTACACTGGGCCGCTTGTAGCCAGTTTCCCGCTACACGTTTTATATTATCGGTCCATCTAGTCGGTGGTCGTCCTCGGCTTCTTTTATAGTTTCTAGGCCTCCCTTCCATAATACGTCTTGTCTACCGTCCATCTTGTGTTCTAACTAAGTGCCCTGCCTAGGTCCACTTAAGCGTTGTGGTTCTTTCGATGACGTCTTGAACGCCTGATCTTTATCTGATTTGTTGATTTGTTATGTGGTCTCGAAGGCTCACGTTCCGCATTGTACTTTCATGGCTCGTTGTGTAACTCAGAGTTTATACGCAGATTTTTGCGTGAGTGTTAAAGTCTCTGCTCCATAATTTTGTACAGGCAAAACACATTAGTTATAAACCTTTCGCTTGAGACACATGGGAATTGAACTTTTTAGAATATAGCTTAATTTGCCAAATGCTGCCCATGTCAGGCCTATTCGGCCCATTCGTCAGTATTTTGATCTCGTGTCCCAAATGTCGTTTGTAAGTGTCTGTACATCTTGTCGATGTAGTATGGATGTAATTCCGTTAGAAACTTAATAAGTGCATGCGAGTTTTCTGAGTACAATTTTGTTACGCTGATTATGTCTTTTGATCCTTGTATATTTTCGAATAGATACACTAAGTACTTGATCGAAGCTTAACAATTGCTTTTACCTTTCTACATATTCTCTAACTGGTTTTAGTAATGTGTTGAGATTTGGTATCTCATCCCTTTGTATATCCCAAGTTTTTGTTATTAGTTTTGGTTTTTTTCTTTTTAAAGTTTAGGTTTTCTTATGGTTGTTTTTCCGGTTAATTTGTTTGAAGTTATCTGGAGTTCGTGTGAATTCATATGTGTATTTTTTATTTCGACGTAAGAGTTGACTTGTTTCGAGTAAGGTTGATTTATGTTTTTGGGTATTAGAGGATGATTCAGACGATGTAGATGTCGCGATTGTAGTATTAACTGAAGAAGGGGTGAAATGTATAGATGTATTTTGTAGTGAGCATTGTTGAATTTGGTTTATTGATAAATCTGGGATTGCTACTATTTATAATGAGCTTTGAGAAGACGTAGTAAGTGTGGAAAAAGTGGTATTAAGGATTGTGGTAGTATTTTGTAGATTATCTTGTTGAGTATGATTTATTGACGAATTTTGTCTCATTTCTGTTTGCATTGCACTATAATTTTCATTTGAAACATGTTTCGTTTTGGGCTATAAATATGCGGTATGAAGCTTGTTCCAAATCAATGATAAAAGATTCAGGTAGTACAAAGTGGTCTGGAAAAGGTGAACATCGAGTGAACATAGACAACAGAAAAGTTATACTTTCTGTTCTCTATATATCAGAGTTAAAACACACCAGTAAAAGATGCCATATACTAAGTTTTACTATCTTTACCCAATTTTAAAATTTTAGAATGTATTTTGTCCATTATTTTATATTTTATATGTGTGTTATCAATGTTGAGTGTCAATGCTTTTATAAATAATCTCAACGGCTAGTAAGTTACACTGATAAATTGTGATATTTTGTAAATATTTCATATTTTTCTTATCACAGTGTCTTGAAAAAGGAAATAAAACCATTCCGAAAGCTAGACAAAAGTCAAAAGAGTGGTTTATTATATATATATATATATATATATATATATATATATATATTATATAATATATATAATATATTTAATATATATATATATATATATATATTTATATATATATATATAATATATATATATATTATATATAATAATATATATATATATAATATATATATATATACATCCCATTATTTTTTTTACATTAGTCAGCCTTACCATGTTTCCCCAATATAAAAATTTCCTTTCACAAAAGACTTCCAGTATCATGAACTCTTTCAGCTAAGTAAATCCACTTTTCTTAAAACCTGCATGACGAGCCACCTAGCTTATTTATAAAATAGCTTTGAAATCGACCTTGAGATGTCAATATCAGGATACTCATATCGTTATGATACAACCCCGAACGGCTGTTGACATGAAAATAGATACGGTGATGTCTAATGATAAAAATAAATTTCGTAGACGTAAATTGACATAACCGTTAAAGAGCTTTTATAGTGCAAGGTCAATGAAAATGGATTTCCAACGCTATTTATTTCTTTAGAAGTTAATAAGACCTTACATATTAACGACGTAATCACCCATTGTAATTTATAGACTTTTTCCAAATTGGTAATAATTTTATAATATCAGATATAGACGTTAACTTTTTTATTCGTGGTTTCATGTTTGTTTTGATTACTTTTGTTTATTTCATACTTTTCCTTTTTTCTATACATATAATGAAATGAACTTTCATCTTTTTGGTACTACCCAATTGTTCCAGCTTTAGGATTAAGATTTCGATTATAAGTATTTTGGTTTTAATTTTTCATATATATTGTGCCGATCCTGGTAGGAACCTGGAACCCATCATCAAGAGATTCTATAAGGAAATCAGTTAATGTCAATAAAATGTCAGCGAAGCGGCTAGAGAGAAATCAAAATTGCTGGTCGATAAAACATTCTTTTAAAGTTGCTGACAAATAGTCACAGACAAGGCTCTCAAAAACTTTGGGAATACAACTTAGAATGCTAATAGGCCGATAATTGTTTACTTAATAATTATCTCCAGATTTTAGTGTTGGAGTAATAAAGCTAGTTTTCCAGTAGACCGGGAACAATGGTGTTTAATAACAGGTTAAAAATGTGAAAAAGAGTTCTAGAAAGTAAAAAGTTAAAATGTTAAAATGTTAAAATGTAAAAAAAAGAAAAGAAGCTACAAGGGACCATCTGAACCTGGCCCCTTGTAGCTATCCAAAGAGAAAAGTTTTTCATTTATAGACAAAATTAAAATGCTAAATTGTGATAGGTTGATGTCGCCTGTTAAAAAGGTTATATCCTGCAAATCAATATCCTTATCACTATAAGTTATGGAAAAGTATTCAGCAAATAAATTAACAGTCTCCATGCCAGAAGAGCCAGAAATATTATTATAGTGTATAACAGAAGGAATATTATTCCTATTTTTGTTTACTGTTAACAAATTTCCAGAAATTTGTAATATTATCTTCCAGAGAGAATTCAGTTGGAGCAACATAATGAAGATAGCATTGTTCTTTCAGTTGTTTACAGTTGTTAGCTCGTAATAAAGAAAACTCATTATTGTCAGCAAGTAATTGAGATTTTAGATATTTTTTATGCATTTTCTTTTTTTTTGTTATTGTTTTTTAAGCTCTAGAGAAAACCAGACGGAAAACTGTTTTGCTGAATACTTTTTCAGGAGAACAAAAATATCAATTTCAAGGTAAATAACATCATAAAACATGTTGATCATATCCTCTGGTACTAGGTCACTTTTAGCTCTAGATACTTCAACTTCTTTATCTTGGACCATAACCAGATCTAATAAGCAGTTGTTTTAATTTTTAACAGTGTTTACTTGATACAGATTATGAAAGGAACATAAAAATAAGAGGAATTAAATGGAATCGACTTCATTTGGTGAGGTTTCTGGTAATGGAGTAGCCACAGACAAATTCTCCAAAGACAATTTATCAATGGACCACTGACAATTAAGAAAATTAAAATCTCCCAGAATACATAACTTATATTCTGGATACTTTTCAGCTAGCTTATCTACATTTTCTGCAAATTCGATATACTTCTCAATGACACTACGTGATGGAAAGTAGGCAGTTGCAAAGATAAAATTGTCGATGTGGCTAATCTCAATCTTAATTAACAGATGTTCGATATTTTGAGTTGCTGATAAACAAACACTGGTTATGATTTTCTGGCCAGCTATAAGCACTCCTCCACCTCTTTTGAAGGTTATTGTTTCTGAGAATCTATCTCTTCTATATATGTTGTAGTTAAACATTTGCAGTTCGGCGCTCTTTATGTCATCTGTTAACCATGTTTCATTAAAAACTAAAATATCATATTGTGAGTAAGAAGTATTTTCAAACAGTAGCTGAAGTTTTGTACGTAACCCTCTAACATTCTAAAAATACACCAGCACTTTTGAAGTCTCGACTGAGGGGGCTTTGAACCTGGTAGATATGTTTAGTTTTTTCGTATTAACTTTGGCACACCATTAACATATTTTAAAATAAGATCAAATTCACCGTTACGCCGTTCTTTTAACTCATTTTTAAGTGCAATTACTTTAGCTCGTGTTCAGTAGTTAAATCAGGTTTCAGGAATACTTTCAAAACCTCTATCCAACACCCTCTTGTTTCTCAATATCAACCGAACCATTTCAGGTAACTCTAGAGTTAGTCACGGTGATAGATCTCCATTTTTATTTCCTTTACCAATTCTAGTCAAACTGACTATTTTTATATCAGAACCAGCTAAGCCCGTCAGCATTTCCTTAGACTTAGAGGTGTTATCTTCCTCAGAATCTTAAGGCATATTAAAGATCATAAGATTGCAAGATCTCTTTTGTCTTTCAGACACTTTATACAAAACACTCCGTGCACCAATGTGGAACTGTAATTATTGTCATTTTTTGTATTTGATGTACAGGTGGTATTTTATATGAAGGTAAGATCCTTCTTAATGTCTTCAAATAAGGTAGGTAACTAAATTGGTTTTCAAACTCTTGACTTCATCGTTTACCTCACTAATCTGTTTTTCAAACTCTTCCATTTTTGACAGTTTGCAATTTTGATTTTACATAGTGTATCTTCTAATGCTTTTAAACGGTTGTTAAGTATAACTGCCTTTTTTATTCCTGGCTATTCCTGGATCATCTACTTACCTTTTCTTAAATCTGTCTTTATCTCTCTTTATATCTATTTATTTACCTTAATTGTCTACTCTGTTACTCTACGACTTCATGTACATTTAGTATTGCTTGAAACCGTTTACTTTCTGTTAGAGTTTGTATCCCTATCTTACATATTTTGTTTACGTATTTAGGCGTGTACCACAAAAAATCGTAGGCACTTATTCAAATAATTACTAATCTGACGTTTATTGAATACACGACGAAGTTACCAAGCAAATCAAATAAATTCATGGAATTATTTGTAGCGTATTCGGTTTGCAGTAGCGTACAATATTACATGATGTAATTATCACAGCGAGATGTCACAGATTTTTTGTCAGAGAGCAACCTAACAATCATTCAGTATTAAATTACTGCTCAATCAAGTACATGTGCAAATTTCATTATTACAAACTGACCGACGAATATTTAATTGCAGACGACAATTTAGTTTGAAAGGATTCATTAATTTCTTTACTGGAAACAGTTTTGAGCAGCAAAATCGTGGATATATACAAAAGGCGTTTACAAATCAATTTACGAAAATTATTGTGCGTGAAATTTTTAAATGTTTTACTACGTTGTACGTTCTACGTTTTAGATCGGGTATAAACGTAAGACGAAAGTCAGTGTCACTTAAGGTTCTATCGAAAATCGTTTAAGAGTAAAGAATAAAAAGGAGGGGTGACAGAAGACAACCCTGTCGAACACCTTTTTTGATTGGGAAATATGGTGTAGATTCCAGTCCTACTCTCGCAGATGTCACTTGATTCATATAAAGGTTCTTTCTGCTTTTAAGGTCATTCTCATCGATCAAACATTCTTGGAGCAATGTTAATAATTCTGAATGAGTAACACAATCGAACGCTTTCTGGTAATCTATAAAGCATAGGAAGACATATTTTGCTCATCTCTTTACATATAAACTAGGACAGTTAAGCTATAAAGTGCTTCTCTTGCGCCAAATCCTTGTGTGAAACCAAACTGTGTGGGGCTAATGTCTCTTTCACATCTGTTTTATATTCTTATGTGAATTATCTTTAAGAAGGTTGGTATAAAGGTTGATTGAAGTCAATCCTGTGGTATTTGACTGGACACATAAATTTTATTAACAAGATCTGCCAAGGCGTCTATATTGTCTTTACTTAATATTGTTACACCTCTATGTATATGTCGTCTGGGCCTGGTGCTTTTCCCCATTTGCTCTGTTTGATTGCCCTTATAACTTCTAACTTCAATATTTTGGGGGAGGGTTCACTTTTAAATTTTCTTCCAGTGTTGTTTGAGTATAGTTGCTCTGAGTAGTTTATCCAATGTTGAAGTAATAATAATCCTTGGGATAAGTAATTAATTTATTGTCCTTACAATACTGATAAAACTAATTTATTAAACACAACACTAAAATTAATAACCAAAGTGATGACAAATAAACTGAATGAACACTAGAAGAAGAACAACAAGGTTTTAGGTTTATATTTATGTTTCGTGGACTTTAAGAAGGCATTTAAAAATTATCTACCAAAACAACACAATAAAAGTAAAATTAGAAGAAAAACTAACTAACCCTATTGAAGCTGACAACGGGATAAGACAGGAAAATTTCCTGAGTCCTCTATCGTTTATCCTGATAATATAGGAAATAATAAAAAAAGTAAGAACTAAAATGGATCAAACTTGGGAGAAAAGCAACTTAAACTATTCTGCTGTACAGACGACGCAATACTACTCTCTCTAAGTGAAGACAATTTACAATGTATGCTGCACCAATTTAATATAACCACCAGACAATTTACAATCTTAATTTCCCCAAAAAACAAAGTGCATGGTTACAACAACAAATTTACTAAGATCTAAATTGGAGTTGGAAGGTCAGATAATAAGACCTTGTGATTGTGTAATAATGATGGAGTTTAAATATCTAGGCATCACATTATCTAGCTACGAGCACATTTTTGAAGAGGCTCTAAAAGATATTGATAAAAGCATGTCAATAAATTGAGTCAAGCTCAATAACCTGCAGTATACAGATGATACAATAATGTTTTCCAATACAATAGAAGAGCTGCAAAACTTAACGATCAAAATAACGGAAACAAGTATGAAATGGGCTGCATATGAACACCAGCAAAATCAAGCTAATGATCATTAGCAAGGCAAACATAACAGAAGCAAATCTGTATGTGAACCAAGTGAGAATTGAACGTGTATTACAGTACAACTACTTGCGAACCTCAGCCTAGAAACAAAAGACTTCCTAAAATATTGCGTGTACTCAGTGCTTCTATACAGAGTAGAAACGTAGACAATGAAGGAGGAAACTCTATCAAAACCTAAAGATACCACGTTGATAAATTCACCAATGAAGAAGTACTAGGATGGATGAACACAACCACGGATTTAATTATGAGAAATCAAGGCAGATATGAGCTACTTTAATGCATTTTGCAAGGTAAAATTAAAAAAAAGGATCCAAGACGAAGAAGAATATTTTGGCTTGCTAACCTGAGAGCATGGTGTAGAAAGACCACAACACAGCTATTCCGTATAGCAACCAACAAAGTTATTATAGCCAGAATGATCGCCAACGTTCGGAATGGACAAACACCCTAAGAAGAAGCACCCTTCTTCGAACCGAAAGCCCTATGTTAATTTCTCTGGCACACTACAAAATTGTACAAATGTTTGCCTAAAATACAGAGGTAGATTGTCCCTAGTGGAACAGAACCGTTTAATTTTGTACTTATCAATTTCCTGGTGTTTAGTTTAAAAAATTCTTCGATGCAGTTTTCTAAAGTATTCGTCATTTGTTTTTATTTTCCAAACACCAGGTCTCTATTTGTTATTTTTTAGTTCAGTCTTTCATATTCGAAATGTTTTTTACGTAACATATCTCTGTACATAGTAAGAACACCTATACTTTAATGCATAAAGCAAATATTTTTCTACATTAGAAAAAACCGTCATAAAGCAATAAAAAAATTGCTTTGCAAGTTTCCTTTCTATTCAGCATTTCATCAGACGTGTATAATGTGCCGTGAAAGATCGATTGCCTAACAGCACACCTGCAGTCCATTCCGCGTTCCAGAATAGTGGCGAGATTTATTGCCTTTACGAGAGCAATTTTGCAAAATAGACTAGAAACTAACTCTAGATAAAAATGGCTAGTGTATGTGATACGAATGTGCCTATACAGGCTAAGGGTCACAAAATTTATTTTATCAAATGGTTTGCTATATATCACGAATTGAAGCGATTTCCATACGACACAATGCCAAAAATAAGATTAGATTATTTATTTGTAAATAAGACAATGAAGTTCCAGTTAGAAAACTATCAATATATCTTAGCAAGGTATTAAAAAACAGAAAAACATAAGGAATACATTAAATGTTAAAAAATATACCATACCTAATATTTTCGATAATTGAAGAATTATTCAGGGGGAAAATAAAAACTGTGATCTTTTAGATGTTAATAATATTGTAGAATATTGTAGAAAATCAGAATAGTTGTTAATAGCTTTATGGCAAAATAAACACAGTAGGAAACAATAGACTGTACCTGTATAAATGTGTTCACTGTTGAGACAAATAGCGGTAAAGTTTCACTAAAATAAATATTGTTCATATTCACCAGGTATTTTATCAATACAGTTTGTTGTTTTATCAAGTATATTGTAGGCATTGATTTTGTATAAAATGAATCTGGATTTATTTGCTATCAATTAAAATTTTTCTTTTAAAATAAATATTTTATGAATTGTATTTTTGAACCTAAAAAGATACAATGAAAACACATGAGGATTAATAATGCTCATTTTCATCGCAAAGCTACAATAAGTGAAAACTTATGTTTCAATTGTATATGTTTCCAGCAAGGTTTATCAAACAAATAATTTTCATTTTGGGAAGGAAAATATTGCGTTAAACAGGACAATAGTGGGCCCATTAACCCATTTGGACTTATTGTTGGTATAACCAGCCAATAATGGACTTATTGTTGAGTAAATACTCATCCGTGCTTATTGCTGGTTTTCCAAATTTAATTATGGCCGCAATTTTTTTAATATAAATATCTTGAACTGATCTAAGCAACAGCCAATTTGTACTAAATTGGCTGTTGTCAAGAAAACGACAATGTCGTTATATATAATGTCCTTATATATAAATTTGTCAATTAACTACATTTAATATGGAATAATCATTTAACAGTCACTTCTACTTTCGAATCAGCTATGATCTAACAGAAATTGTTTTTTTTTATTCCTTAGAATAAAATTATTCCTTAGAATAAAAAGTTAATTATTTGTCAATATCTGAAGAAGAGTTTATTGCGTGTTTGTTATTTAACAGTTCAGGGTAGAGGAATTGTCTTAAAAATGGTTAAGCGAATAATTATATTGACGTCCTTGTAGAGTATTTTTAAAATTCATTTAAAATTAATAAATATTTTTTATTTCTAATTGTTCGCAGAAACTATGCAATGGTATTTATTAGCGGAAAAACTATTTTGTCTAGTGTAGAATAAATAACTTGTTGCTATGTAAATTCGGCACCTGGGACGAGAGACATATTAATCTTTCTATATTATAACACAAGCAACAACCTTTCAATGAATACATATGTACAAATAATTACACATACGGAAAATTAGAAACTTTACAGTATGTCCCAAATTGATATATTTTGCAAGATATACCAAAAACTAAAGGAGATAGAAAAAAAAAGATTACAAAGGACAGAGCTATATAAGTTTATTGAAACGTTTAATAGATATATGATAGAAGGGTTTAAAAACTCAAGTG